AGACAAAGAACAGCCGTTTTAAGTCAACTGTTATTGCTGCCATAGTCTGCCGGTAACGAAGACAAACAAGAAAATGGAGAAGAAGAATATTACATTACGGTTCTTTTTAGGTTGTTTAGCTGTGAATCTGCTGGAAAGCCATAATGATGAGTAAACGGGGTCCAAAGAGAGTCTTTTTTATTATGGTCCTTGGTCTTGGAATGACCTTCAATCACACCTCAAACTGAGGGCACTTGTCTCAATAGCATGTTTTAAATTGAAGTTGTCTGAGATCCTTACCACCAGCTGCTCTTGCAGTAATAAGTAGTGTACCTTACTTACTGTCCAAATGTGCACAATGTTCTCTGTATTTTATATGTTTGTGTTATGTGTTATGTGTAACGTTGCTGCCTTCTTGGCCAGGTCAGCATTGAAAATGAGATTTTATCTGGTTAAATAAAAGGTTAAATAAAAAATGAAAATAAAACAACAGAGACAGAAAAGGTGTTGAAATGTTCTGAAAACGTGTCTGCAGATAACAATTTTCTTTATGATAAGACTAAAGTACACTTCAGGTTTTTTGACCTTTTCAGACAAAATTCAGAGCAAATATCCTAGAACCAGCCTTTTAAATCTCACAACTACCATCCAGCACACTCAAAATGTACCCTGTCATAGTTTCAGACTGCAAGGCGAAAATCTCTCAAGTTTATATGTTGCTCTTCTCTGTTGCCAAATGATAACTGGTAGCACCTTTAAGCAACTCAGAAAGCCTCTGCATTTACCTTTCTGAACAACCAGAGGTGGTAGGAGGTGGAAAAAAAGAACTGGTGCACAGGACGTAATGTGTTCACGGTTCTGTCATCATCAATAATGCATTTTTGGAATAAACAAAGAATCCAGTACTTCTGAAAATAAAAAGATGAAAGCGTTGCAGTTCTGCTCCTTCACATAAATACACGCTCTAATCTCAAAGCTGACATTTCCCTCCCTTCTCAAAGAGAGAAGTTATAAATTGGCATGACTAAAAACAGAAACCATGAAGAAGGAAACAAAGAAACTAGCTGCATACAAAAACATAGTTGAAAAAAACATCAATACAGTCATAAACATGACTATTTTAATTATGAGGTGAATTCAAAAAGTAGTGCGATTGCTTTGAAAGACATTCCCAATTAATAAATAGTATTAATATTATTTCAATTTTTTTACATTTGAAAATTAAGATGAGGTAATTGTATATGGACAATGCTAAAACTACAGTAGTTATATCACTAATCCAGAAATAACACAAATGTAACCACTCTTAAGAGGTCTACTGTATGAGCTAATTATTTAATCAGCATTTGGAGTAGGGATTATTTTTTAAGAAGCTTTTTGATCCTTGAAAAGTGGTTGATCACAATCACCATAATCACTTGAGCATATGGTATCATCTATAATACCATATGCTGTCAGTTTCGGCATCAATTTCATCGTAATCTTTCCTGTTGAAAAGTAATTGACATATGGGAAGATGATTAAGAGAGGACCCATTCCCCACTAATGTATCAAAGATGAAATGCTATGTCGTAAAATATGTTGATTATGATTGTAATCTATTGTTCACTATTTTTAAATCCAGGCTTGAGTCTTTCCCTTTGCCGCTGCTTTCAATTGAACTATTCATATCTTACAATCTGGAACATTTCAATGTATTTTATACCTGTGTTTCTATATTAGCCTGTTTTATGTTTATTTTATTCTCTTTGCTTTTTAATGATTCGTTTTAAATGCCATTTTATAATGTGTTTCCGCTGCATTGTTTCTTAAAGGTCCCATGTCATGGCCATTTCTACTGATCATAATTCCATTGTTGAGGTCTACTAGAATAGATTTACATTGTTCAATATTCCAAACTCACATTGGTTTCTCATACAGCATCTCTGTATAGTATGTGTATTCACTCTCTGTCCTACACGGCTTGTTGGAGCTCCTGCCCCCCCTCCCTGTGAGCCCACTGTGCTCTGATTAGTCCACCACCGTTACAGCTGAACATCAGTGATTTAAAAAAAAAAATAAATGTATATATATCTGTTGTAATTTATTGTCTTTTATTGTGATTGTACTTTCACACATTCTTGCTTCCACATTGGAAAAGAGCAGCGCAAAATGCTCTATGTGGAAACAATATTGAAGAGAAGGCTCCGTAACACATTACTCTAAACATCGAGTTCAGACAAATAGGCTGTCTGAACACTATCATCAGAGTAACGTGAATCTAATCAATAAATAAAGATTCAGCTGATAACACGAAAGCACACGGCTATTTAACATGCAGAATGACGTCATTTTGCATGCTAAGTAGGCATGTGCTTTCTGGGGCTAAATCTTTATCAGTAAACCGATTTAACCGGTAAAAGTTCCTTCAAAATAAGAGTCCCGATCTTATTACTATCAAAATAAAAGTGCAAAACGAAAACTTTACCATAGGGAAAATATTGGCTACAAATATAATCACTTCTCTAAAAGGTAACTCATTTTAAACATAGTTTATTTATATATAATAATAATAATATTAATATTAGTAATAAGCTTTATATTTGTATAGCACCTATTACAAGAATTGTGATTGTAGTAATGTGTTTTTATTACATGTACAGCACTTTGGCTCGACCAAAAATCGCTTTTAAATGTGCTATATAAATAAAACCTGATTTGATTTGATTTGATTATGCGTATGCGTTACAATGGCGTTTGTTAGCAACCAGAAAATGACACCAGTAATGACAAACAGATGAGAATGCTGCGTGGGGTCTGGGTGCCGTGTTGGCGGGACGTTGCGAGGCTCGCTGCCCCGCCCTTTGAGGCTCGAGGAGCGGACAGTGTGAGCTGGATTACTGGTGTCTTTTCCTGGTTGCTGTGTGAGGTCTGCGAGACACACACACACACACACACACACACACACACACTCACAGCCTGAGCTCCGAGTGTGTGTGTACGGAGCTCTGCGGCTGAGAAAAGATAAGGCAGTGTGTGTGTGTGTGTGTGTGTGTGTGTGTGTGTGTGGAGCTCCGCAGCGTTACATCAATAGGCCCTGGAAGAAAAAAATGGAAAAAGAAAAATCCCTAACGAGGCGTTCTGGGGCAGCATGTGTTAGAGTTTTACTCGCTACAGGGTGTACTTTGAGGGTTTGTGACTTTGCAGACCGTTTACATGCATAAAAAGCTACATAGCACACAAGGGGATGGGTAATAACCGGAAAAGCATGACATGGGACCTTTAATGCTCTTAAAGTTTTTCATTTTTGTAAAGCACTTTGAATTGCCTTGTGTTGAAAGGTGCTATATAAATAAACCTACCTTGTTTTGTTATGCTAAAATGTGTGGGAATAGATGAGAATAGATGATTGCAAACAAGCAACATGTGGACTAGAAAATCTGTCATATCGCTAATGCGCACTTGTTATGGCATGATGCAGATGCATTTGTTGAATGAAAATAAAAAAATAGCTCGTTAAAATTCCCTTGGAACATCACATATATACACTGTACGTATAACACAGATGTATGGGCCTCCTGACAGGTTACTGGGGGGGATGATTGAATGAGCACGGGTCCGTGAAAAGCTGTCTCATCATTACACCGGTAATCTGAGGGGTTGACAGTCACACTAGTCTGTCCGATGTCAATATAACGACAGGACAGAAATGATGGGTTAGTCTGACGTGAAGGTTGATGTCATTTTAAAATCCCATTGTCAATTTATTCAAGCATTCTTTGTCTTTCATTCCCCCTTTTCAGTCAGCCATTTATTTCTCTTTCAAATGCTTCTCTATTCAGTCACTCATCTCTCCACTTGGACTGATGTAGAGCTCTCTTTGAGTGCATCAGACCATGGAGGAGTCATAGAAATTACTCTTAAGAACTGACCTGATCCATTGACCGTGCAACCTTGAAACCTGGGTGCACACACACACACACAGCTACCCGCAGTCGGTTGTCAATTACCTTAAAAGTGGTGGTCATGCTTGAGAACACATGGATTTCATTTACCCCACGGCTAAATGGAACCAACACGCTTGCCCACACACGTTTCATTAAAGTGCCCTGGTAGGCTTAGTTTGGTACAGTATGAGTCAGGGGAGTTAGAGGACCTGAGGGGGGGAGAACACACACACACACCACACACACCACACAACACACACACACACACACACAACACACACACACACACACACACACACACACACACACACACACACACACACACACACACACACAAACACACACACACACACACACACACACACACACACACACACACACACACACACACACACACCACACACACACACACACACCACACACACACACACACACACACACACACACACACACCACACACACACACACACACACACACACACACACACACACACACACACACACACACACACACACACACACACACACACACACACACACACACACCACACACACACACAACAACACACACACACACACACACACACACACACACACACACACACACACACACACACACACACACCACACACACACACACACACACACACACACACACACACACACACACACACACACACACACACACACACATTTGTGGGATGTTCGGTGACTCCCAAACAGAACTCATTTTATTTCAGCCAGTCTCATTCCCAGCTCACACCAGGGAATACATTTATTTCGACCGGTATCTCTCCCTCCCCATCCCCATCTCTCCCTCCCCGCCTCTCCCTCCCCGCCGCTCCGTCCATTCTAATCCCTTCAACCAATAGAGGACTTAAAATCAGCCACAGGTTACACAACTTTTCCATTGGACCCCACTGAAATCACACCTGGGTCCAATTGTACCGTCAGATATAGGGAGCGTTTGTGTGAATCAATCTGCAGTGTCATACCTGCTAGGCTGCTGCCCCTTGGGGTTATTAAATTGGTTTCTTTGTGCCAGACGTGTAAATCCATCACAGAGCAGTGTTGCAGGGAACTGTGTGTGCCTACCTGTAGGTTGTGTCTCTCCAGCCTCATCTCCAGAATGTTGTTCTGCTCCTCCAGACGCTGCCGCTCCGACTCTAAATCTTCAATTTTCTGTCTGAAAAATGCATGCACACACTTTCACTGACTTGTTTATTAATATAACGACTATGCACATTTTAGACTCAATATGCTAATCCTAGAGCTATAGCTCTGCTCACAGACAAGTTAATCCACCTTTGGTGTATGTGTGAATATCTCCCGTCTCAGGTTGTGAATTGGTTGTTTTTGCAACCGTTTGTATAATTTAATTTGTTCTGAGTAAGTGAGGATTTGAATTCCCTCAATATTTCAATATGTGACATTATTTTCATACCTTCCAAAAGAATAAAACAATATATAGAATTAATAAAATCAGTTGATGAAAAACGGTTGTTATTACATTATATTGCATACCTGTTTCTCTCAAGTCATATTTAATTAACATATTCAATTTTCTAGTATGGTTGCTTCCTTATTTTTCCAGTTTTGGAATATCAACTTCTTATACACTAATGACGAAAAAATGTGTGGGAGAGAAACTCCCTCTGAAGGGAACACAGGGACTTTAGCCCTCGAGGACCATTTTCATGCACAAAAACCTATATAACACACTACAGGAAAGTTAACACCTAAAAAGCATTATAGGGCCGCTTTAATTTATATGACAATAATTGTTGATTTGCAATAGTATGTGTGCATGTGTTAACTACCTGAGTATGTTGAGCTCTTCTTTGGTCCCTGAGGTGTTGCTGTCGGCAGCAGAGGCCTGGTGCTTCTTCAGGGACTCCAGCTCCAGCTCCACCTGTGACAAACAGAGGAGAAAATGGGCCGGGTGCAGCAGCATCAGGGACCTCTGGCCGTGTGCCTGGCAGAAACCTTTTGGCTGCAGGAAGACCCTAAAGGACTCTTTCCCACTGAGATCTTTCAAAAGAGACATCCAGACAAACAGAAATATCCTTTACACCCCATGAGTCCACTGACTCCATTCCACAATGTCCCAATCTGTTTCGCCCCTAGTTCTAGTCTTTAGTCTGTCTGTCTTCTCCAATCTCGCTGTCCTCCCTGCAATTACCCCTCATTTCCATCTGCACGCCCATTTCCCCTTTTTCTGAGAGCATCTGTCCGTTTCTCAGCTCATCCCCACTTCCAGTCTTCCCAAGACAGATAAGTAATTACTGCTGTACCAGACAGGTGGATTTCACGCGTCAATACTCATCGCCATGGCTATGCTGATGTCTCCTCGGCAACAAAGAGCCATGAAAAGAAAGGAGATCATTGAACAAGTGAAGACACAAAGAGATTCACAGAGTGTGGAAGAGAGTTAGGTAACACCTGCCATCTCTCGCTTTAGCTTGGTTTTATATCATTTCAAAAACAATCAGCATTTTTGGTAACGTTTCTGTAATTTTCAAAACCCTCAATTAAGATAAACAATATCATTGGGGCCAAATTCAGCTGTTAAAAAAGACAATCCCATTCTTCTTTTGAAAAGGTCTACAAGCCCAACTTGATTTTTGAGCACAGTAGAAAAGATGAGGCATTAGAGCATCACAGAAAGACCAAGCACCCCCTTCAAGGGTCACGGTAACGACTCAAAAGAGGTACTTGAGATCATTTGAGCGCCAATGGCGGAGGTGACAATTAATGATCATGAAGTCCTAATTAAGATTTGATAGCTTTAAAACATCTTAAATTATCTTCTTTTGTAGTTACTGGAGGGGCATTGATATAAGTTAATTGGTGTCAAATATATTAAAAAAAGATATATATGAAAACAATGTGTGTGTATGTCCCAGAATAAAACTGTACTGGTAACTTCAGTGAAAGTGGGTTTCATGGAGAGCTCAGCTGCTACTTGTCTGCAGGATCAGTATTTTTGCTGAGCGGACAATTTGACAGATATGTGAATTGAATACACACAAGCATAGGAGCGAGTGGCCAAGAGTTGACCTTGCACTTCTACAGCTACCAGTCCATACTGTGGTTGCGGCAGTCGAAATTGTAAAAAAAAAAAAGTTAGATCCTTAACACCAGGGAAAAACATGGAAAGATGATAGGAGAATTCATAAAAAAAAAATCCGTGCAGTGGGCCGAAATACTTTGGCCCATGCGCTCTTATTGTGCCGTTTGATGCAGCTTTATGAATGTAACTGGCCGAATGTTGAGATAGGATTCTCCTTTCTTTTCATAAAGGATAAGCTGTGTTTCCAATGATATAGGAGATTATAAAGAAGGTATTAAGGCTCCATTCCTATCATGTAGACCTTGGAGAATCCGAACAGCTCTCATCATGTCTGCCATTTAGGTACTTCCGGGTCATTTCACTCCGTTAGGCACCTTCCCAAGCCAAATTCCCAATTCAGCAAAACCCCAGTCCTTTTCTTTGCTCTGATCGGCCTGACCTACAGACTGAGCCCCTGGCGCCCACAATGCTTACTGTTTGCAGCTGCAGTTTCAGGGTCCCTGTCTCTTCCTGTGCTTTTGTCAGCTGGGCCTGAATTGAAGGACAAAGAGAAAACAGTTAAATATAAAATAGAGAACAAAATAAAAATGGCTTCCTGTACCAAATGATATATAGCATTGCCAGAAACAGAGGTGAAGCAGGGCAAAGACGACCATATATTATCCAAAGTGTTTATTTCATTCCGTTTTTAAACCCCGACACTTTAGCCTTCTCATATTTCTTCCCAGTGTTGCTCACAAGGCCCCTGTGTACTACAAGTTCAGTCTTATCAGATTTAAGTGCAGATATCTGTCAAATTGTCCGCTAAGCAAGAGTACCGAGCGTGCAGACAAGCAGCAGCTGAGCCTCACACATTTCCACAGCCTTAAGCTATGAGCAGTGTCACCAAACAGTGTGATAATAAATTTGCCAGCAGCTTAGATGAGTATAAATCAATGCAATGTATTCAGATGTGTTTTGAAGACAATAAACTTGGCTATATGGAAGCTTAAGTAGGATATGATGAATGCAAGTGTTTTGTATGTGTGTGTAAAAGCCTGCACACACACACACCTCCATCTCTACATTGTGGCTCTGAGTCTTCTGCAGGATGTCCTCGGACTCACGGAGACGTTTGCTCAGCTGAGGAGAATACTCAGTGGGAGCCAGCTCGCTGTCGTACGACTCCAGTATGGCCCGCATGCCATCACGCTCCTGAAAAACACACACACACACACCAACATGAATATCCTGCTGTAAACCTCACAGATTCCCATGTAGCCAAAGAGGAAGAAATTCCAGACATTAAAGAACGTTGTGCTATCAGATATGTGATGTCAGAGTGAATACACTGAGAATATCAAAGCCATTGTTTTCCTGATTTGTCTGTGTTACTTGTGCACGAGTGTTTGGTGTTACGCCTTTGTGAAAGAGGAACAAAGTACGACACACCTTTCTCATCCGAGCTGTGACAAAAGGAGCTTCAGGTTATGGTTGTGCTCATTTGCGTTTTCTCCTCATGTAATAATAAAATCAAAGACATATCTCTTTGTAGATAAGGGATATTGTAATAAATTCAAATCAAAGTCATGAGAGGGAAACAGCTTTACAAATTAGGCATATCATAATATGCTGCCTTCAATTCTAATGAAATGTTTTTCTATAACTGGAATAAAATACATGTACTCAACTCTGTCCAGTCTATAAACACACAAGAGGCGCTTTCACACCGCAGTACTTTTCCCACAAAGGTTCATCTGAACTTAGTTCATGAGAACTCTTTAGTTCTCATGAACTAAGTACAGATCGCGTTCACACCGGAATAAGTCCCTGGGGGAGGATTCTTCACTTCGTCTTCTTCTGCTTTGGGTTTACTGGCAGGGCGCAAACAACTTCACGGCGTATACTGCCACCCGAAGACGCCGGCCGGAAGCCCCCGGAGTTGGGGACTGGCTTCAGTAGAAGCTGCTGGGACTCCCAGCAGCTTCTACTGAAGCCTTCCGAGTAAATCGCCAGAACGCCGACACCTCCTCATCTCCACCGCTCCCATGTTTTCTTTTGTGTTGCCATAAGTTAGCCTCTCTGCGTTTGTGCGCTGGGCTAATGCTAATGCTAATAATGCTAATACGAGGATAATAAAATGGCGGATTCACAAAACTTTTTGGGAGTTTTACGGGGCGTGGTTTGCAATCCGCCCAACCAATCAGAGATAGGAACCTTTTTCTCCCACGAAAGTCCCTGCTCTCTAGCAGGGACGGAAAAGGGGGTAAAAAGGTTCTCATGAACTAATTTTAGTTCCGGATTTATTTGGTGTGAACGCAACATTTCGGAACTATATCGGAACTAAAGTGGGAAAAGTACTACGGTGTGAACGCGCCTAAGGTTTCTTCTTTGAGAGAAGAGAGGATAAAAACATCCTCGAGTCAATATCTTCACAAGTGTCACTCAATCTGACACACCGTCTGCAAATAGCCCACGTGTCTCAGTGTGTGTCTGCATGCTTCATTTTTAACTGTGCATGTTTATTCTCATACCAAAAAACTAACAAAAATGTATAGAAGAAGTAGTCGGCCATCAACAGGATGTTTATAAACATAAAGATTGGCAAGATGTGGCTGTGAGGTAGTGTGGCCGTCTAACAATCGGAAGGTTGGGGGTTTGAGTAAACATATAGATTAAATACGCTAAATTGCTCCGAACGGCAATGACCAATGGGGTGAGTGAGTGTGTGTGTGTGTGTGTGTGTGTGTGCGCTTTGAGTAAACATATAGATTAAATACGCTAAATTGCTCCGAACGGCAATGACCAATGGGGGGTGTGTGTGTGTGTGTGTGTGTGTGTGTGTGTGTGTGTGTGTGTGTTTCCTTGTGCAGATGCCCCTTGCATGGCAGACCCGGCCTCTGTATGAAAGGGTGTGACGGTAAATGCTGACAGACACAGAACAAAAACAAACTAAAGCCCAAAAGCTGCCTCTAAGTTATAACATTTTCTTTAAGCACTAAACTTTGAATAACGTCCATGAGTGAAAAAGAAATCTGTGAAAATTTGAGAACAAAGTATCCTTTATTTTATTAATATCACTTCAATTGACCCAGGATTTTGTAGTTCAAGGAAGGGTGCTTACCTGCTACAAGTGGACAAAAAATGTTTTTATTCCAATGCTGTGATTAGTGAATGTATTAAACTTATTGTAAGTCGTACTGGATAAAAGCATCAGCTAAATGAAATGAAATAATATAATATAATAGTGTCTTAAGAAGCAACAATGTTATCAGCCAATGTTAATTATCTGTTTATACTAGAAAATTAATTGGTAAAACTGCATCAATTAAACGTCTACAAATTTTAAATTACACATTGTAGCTCTGAACAGTAAAGGTGGGGTAGGTAATTCACTTCAGAAACACTTTTTGTTATATTCCATGGAATGCTCTTAACATCCCGATAGCAATGAATATCTTAAGTGCTTTGACAATAAATATATACAAAAATGTCATCTGTGGAAGCCGTAATACTGTAAAAAGCACGACCAATCATCTGAGCCGGCCCGGCTAAAATAACTGGATGGCCTACCTGCCTGTCAGCCTTCCATCTGTGCACAAACTTATCTCGTGCCCTCATTGGTCATGTGCGCATTCGTGTGTGAAGTCTGAAGGAAGGGGCAGATTTTTTCCGGTTGTGTACTTTCAAATTCTAGCGCACTCGAGCTGGTTTCTCCATTCTTACCTACCCTACCTTTAATGAATGATAACTACAATTAATCAATATGTTACATAGTAAATCTGTTGCCAGGCAACATGATGAGTGAGAACAATCTAATGATCTGTTTAAAACTTGGCAAACAGCCCGTTTATTAATGCAAATTCACTGTCAGTCAGCGCTGTTAGAATGTCCTCGCCTCCTTTCACTGCGCCGCTCTGATCTGCATTATAAAGCCAAGCAGGCTTCATTTTATGACAATCAGGCTTTTAATAAACATCTCACAAACAGCCTTTGCTGCTCAGGACCCTCGGTGAATGTTGAGGTTCAATGAAGGCTTAATAGTCTATTATTAACGGGGCTAATTTAGGGAAGCGTGTGAAATCCAGGTTGAAGTCAGGTATTAAATACCTGCAGTAAATAGCATTTGAGATAACGGCGTACAATATATGTTGATTGCCATGTAGTGCTGTCTTATTTAAATGGCCTAAAAGCACCTTGTAATTCCAGGGTGTAAACATCTATGAATAATGGACTGCAATTGCTCTGTCAGATTAGCTCAGTTAGGCTAGTCTGTGAAAACAAAGCATGATTACCCTCATCAGATTCAGCCTGTGATTAGCAGCATCCAAACCCACATAATCCATTTAAAGATGACTGACTCTGGTTAATTTAAAATCACTAAATGTGAAATCATCCTTAATTCAACTTTATTTGTTTTGGCGCCCAAGCAGCATCATTTGTCATGCAACATTACACTGCTGTGAGAAAACAGAAGGACCAGAAGTAAATACAAAGAACACATTTAGAGGTCAGTGTGTATGTGTGTATCCAGCCAATCCTACCCAGCAGGCCCGTTGGCTATTTACAGTCTATTAACGTGCAATGAAATTCACTCAATCTAAATCAAAAATCTGTTGCCTCTTCTACGATAAAAAAAACTCTCATTTGAAAAAACACAAAGAAAAGAGGGAGAGGGCGTACGGCGTGATAAAACAATCATTACCGTTTTCATCATCTATTCTTTTAAATTGCTTTTATGTCAACTGTTTTATCTGGTGCGTGAAGATGTGACTGTGCCTCTAATGCCTCAGCAAGTCTGTCCCACTAAAGTTTATGAGAACAAAACATCTGAGCAGGGCGTAGCAGTAGCATAACGGAGATGTTGCCTTATAGAAAGAGAGGAAAGGATAATATTTGTTCTGCTTTTCACTTCTTTAACCTGCTGCCAGACTGTCAGGCACTTAATCATCAGCAGTTAGTGGAATGCTGTTTACTATAGTTCTTCGAATCTTTAATCTTATTATTATTATTATTTCAACCAATACTTTGGCTCTCAATAACTTCAGCATACTTTCAGCTACAGAAACCATTCAAATATCAAACTATTCAGCCTTTTCAGCACAAATATGTTATACTTTTTGAAATATTCAGCTTTTTAAACTCTTTTTTAACATGGAACTCAATGGGAGGAACCTTCCAATCCTCTTTTACCTACACCTTGCGCCAAATGCTACTCCTTCCACATACTTTCAGCTAGAGACTTCATTCCAACTTTAAAATGATCACAAGACCTGAGGGCATGACGTGACAAAAACTTTCAACATTTCTCCATTACGGCCCATTGTAAACCAAGTGTGATCTGTCCTCAGAGCAGCAGCTGCACACCTATAGTCAGGGTTCATACACTTTTTCACGAATGATTTTCAATGACTTTTCCATGACCTTTACCTAATTTTCCATGACCAAAAAAAGTACTCTTTCTCAGCGGGTACCACATGGAACAGGAAAATAAGGTCTGCATATGAAACATGTTGTGCCTATCTAAAACAAATCAAATCTGCCAAAAATGCCACATTATGGACGCGAAAGTACACAAAAAGCAGATTCCGCCGCTCCTCACGGTCCTGTCATCCTCCACGCGTTGACATTTTACGAAAGCAGCTACCGTTTTTAAACTATAGTTAGAAATGTAAGAGGTTTATTTCTCCTTCAGAACAATGGAAAGGCTCTCCTTTCACAGCACATCTCCATGGAAACCTTTGATCTCTGGGCTCAGTACAAAGATGTTTGATAATGTCGTCACCGTGGTAACCTTTGATCTCTGGGCTTACACACACAGGTGTTTGTAAACATTAATTCACTACTACTTACATTTAATATCTAACTTCTTCAGCCTACTTTCAGCTACAGAAACCATTCAGCTATTAACTTATTCAGCTATTTCAGGACATTGAGGCTATACATGTTGTTTATACATTTTTTAAACCTTTTCTTTTAAATATTAAGCTTCTTCACTATTTTTCCTACTCTTCCAGTTTAACATTTCAAGTTTTCAACAAAGTCATTGCAATGCATTTGAGCTGTAACAATTTGATTCAAATCATTTCACTTACTTGGTTTTTGTAGCTAAAAGCAGCTACAGAGACCATTCAGCTAATAACATATTCAGCTTTTTCTGCATTTTCAGCAACAAATGGTCACAGTTTACAGCATTCGCATGCATTTTCAGCAGGAAATGCATTTTCTAGTTTTATGTGAATACATCAAGAGGGAATTGGAGATCAGTATGGAAATCTACAGAAATATTTTAGGTGTGTTGTTGCTATTTAAAAGTGCTTTATAAATACAATTCATTACATGTAAAATAACTAAGATGTATTATTATTATATCATAGAGTAAGTTGATTAATATGTGTGCTTAGACAACATTTTTTAGTTAAAGTATTAACTTTTTTAATCTCCGCTTTCTTCTGTTTTTCTTGGCAGGGCAATTTATCAAGTTAATTAAATGTGTTGCTCTAGCATGGTAAATTAAATTTCTATATCTAGAAAATTAAATCATTACAACACGCACTAAAAGGTTAATTTCAGCCAAAGTAATGATTGCTACAGGTCTCTTATGTTATAATCTTAAAAGAGGCATGTGGCGCAGTGGGTTAGTGCGTTGGTGATCGGATCAAGGGGATCAGGGGAGCACAGGTTCAAACCCCACTGCAGTCAGCATGTCGTTGTGTCCCTGGGCAAGACACTTCACCCCAAATTGCTCCTGTGGGGATTGTCCACAGTACAGTCCAACATGTAATGTATGAAAAAGGTGACTAGCAATTTCAGCAAACAGCTATTCCTGAAAAAACTAAATAGTGAAAGTTCTAAAAAGCCCAGTGTTCAGCACATACTGCAATGTTGTTGTTTTTTTATCCATCAGGACTGGATGGTAAACAACAATAATTCATACTCTCTGAATACTGGGTGCAAATGCTTGACTGCGGTCTGCTAAATCAGTCTAGCGCTCAGTCATATTTCCAGCATGCCTGTAGCTCTGCTTAGTTATGACGGTGCTGAGAGTGGATGTGTGTGATTTGTGTACTGGGGACTGATCCTGTTGACCTAGGGAATTACACACACTGAGAAATCAATATCACAGGGAGGTCTAGTCAGGAACTGAAGAGCAGGTGGAAGTGAGACAGAGGAGTCACATGACATCCACGGACCAATCAGAGGCAGAGAGAGAGGGGTAAAGGGCAGATTCGAATAATTCTGAGCTGGACTTGTGATGTGTCGCCACAGTAATAAAGTTAAATTCTGTTAGGTGGAAAGTCTGTGTCAAGAGTATTTGAATTAGAGCTGGGCAATATTGGGAAAATCAAATATCATGATGTTTCTGATCAAGTACTTTGATCTCAATATACAAAATATGTACACAATGTATTGTTTGACAGGTAATAGGGCTGCAATTTTGAAAATTAAAACTAATTCTGATATATTGACTGATATTGCAATTACAATATAGCAGGGATTGATCATGTCTGCAGCATTATTCTCCTATTCATTGATAAATATATTAAAATGATCATGATGTGATCTGTACCAAGAAACATGTTGTTACGTCAGTAGAATAAGATTTGTAGGCCTTGATATATCTTCAGCTCCACAATACTGTTGTGTCAATACTGTTAAGGGGGTGGAGACCAATATGAAAACAGCTTGATAAGTTCAGAACATGCAGCACTTTTCTCTAATGCAGCCTTTAAAACCAGGAAAGGTCACTTTTACGATTATGCTTTACGATATGCTAAATAGACTGCGTTTATATAGTGCTTTATCCAGTCTTTACGACTCCTCAAAGCACTTGACACCTTTTAACTTCAATTTCTGATTATATAAATATGGATTTATTTTAATTTTAATATGGTGCAACTGTCAATCAATCAAAGTTTATTTATATATCCCAATGTCACACATTTTACATTTGTCTCGGGGCTTTACAGTTTATACAGACTGACACAAAATCTAGTTTCCCCCTGGGATTATAACGTATTTTGATTGATATACAAGTCATCATTCACCCATTCATACAAAGGCAGGGGCTGCCATACAAGGTGCATCTGCTCAAGGAAGCTAACAATAACACACCGTTTGCTATCGGGGGCAACTTGGGGTCAAGTATCTCGCCCAAGGACACATCAACATGTTGACTGGGATCAAACACACAACTTTCAGATTGGAAGACAACTACACTACCTGAATCCAAGACGATATTTAGTTTCATAGTTACGATATCAACATAATATTGATATAATGCGTAGTGAATGTTTGAATTCCTGCCAATGTGTCTGTGTGTTGTTGTGTGTCTTTGTCACCTTGGTTAACAACAGGACTCTCTTCTGGAGTCTCCGGACGAGGCTGTCCTGCGTCTCCCTCTTCTTCTGCTCCTCCAGAGTCTTGCTGCGCTGCTGGCACAGCTCGGCTCGATGCTCATTCTGCGAGCGCTCTGCACTCCTCACACTGATGTACCGGGAGAAATGAAAGGGTAGAGAGCAAAAGAGTGTGTGTGGGTTAATAACATGTTGTTTAGTGCTGATGTTCCCACAATCTGGGGAAATCAATTCTGAGGCAATTTAGAATAATACTCCTAACAGATAACTTACCTGACCGACACCAAATAATTCCCTGACTGTCCTGGAAATCATTTGCAGCAGCAACTTGTGCCAAGTCTGATCAATAGGGCAATAAGTATACCAGGACAATAATTATAGCACAAGCTCCCCTCATCCCCTCCCACTCTGCCGTTTCTAATATTACATAATAATCCCAACACACTCGGCAGAAGAGGGACGCTTGTTAGCTAATGAAAGCTTTCTTAGCCGGACTGCTGCATCAATATATACGGGAGCATTCGCGCTGCCCTCCCCACAGACATCACCTCTGCCTAAACAGGACGAGTTTAATTAGCAAACTCCCTCTCTCTCTCTCTCTCTCACACAATCTCTCTCACACACGCACTCACACACCAGTGGTTACTGTCAGGAGTGCTATCAGAATCAGGACCGGTTTAATTAACTTTGTGACAATTAAGGACTTCTCAGAGATACGCTCTAATAGATACATGGGGGAAGGGAAGAATTCAGGCAGACGAGATGAGAGGAAAAAGTCTGAAGGCAGGGAGAGGGATTGTGTGAGTGTGTGTGAAGGAGTGTGTGTTACCGGCTGCTGAGAGTGTAGTTCTGCTCTTTCAGAGCAATTTCTCTCTGCTGGATGTGAATCACCTCCCTGGACAGATCCTCTGGTTTCCTACAAACAGACACAGACAGAAAAGTTATCATACACATGTGTACACACACACTCGCACACAATGACAAATCAATGTGACTGAGAGAGCAGAAAGGACAGAATGGATGAGAACGACAGCGTTTCCATATTCTTTTGTTACTCAGCCAGTGGGGAGCTGGGAAATAAAACGACATGAGCAGCAGAGGGAGAGATGAGAGTGGGCTAAATACTAGTCACACTTCCACAAAACAAACTCACTCCGTGGGAGAGATTGACAGATTAGAAAACACAAACACACAATGGGAACTCAACAATGCAGAAGGTCACATCCTGCAACAGAGATGACCTTCAAACTCTAAATCCTGGCTCTAACTATGGATCTGTGCAAAAAGTGAAACGCCATTATCTCTTTATCTCTTGTGAAATGGGCATGCATTATAGCAGCTTAGCTCAAAATCGTACTTTAGCCGCCACTCAATTGCACACCTAAAAAAGTGATCCAGCTTAATATTCAGTGCCCCTCATGAGATGGGGTGTTCGTAAAGGGCTGAAGCAGGGATGGGAGGGTTACTTTCAAAATGTATTCCGTTACAATGAACAAGTACTTGTAAAATGTGCTGCTTGCACTAAAGAGAAATGTTTTTCCCTTGTCTCTTTTAGAAAACAGTTACATTTCCACATAGAGAAAGTAAACTCTGAACTAAGTCCAAATGACGAACTGGATGATTATGGTTTTACTTGAAAATGTACTTGATGTTTTGAGACTTGTGAAGTGTTGTGATAAGCGAATGTGGTTCTAAATATATTGTTATTTGTTTTAAACTGGATTTTAACGTTGTAATCCTGCTAGTAAAAGGGACACTTGTATTAGGGATGCCAGAAACTGACCATGATCAAATTCGAAAATCGGACAGCCCTGGCGAATATTAATCGATTATTCGCCGCCGCCGCCGCGCCCCCCGCAGGAGAGGGAAAAAAAAGTATTTTCGCAGAGCTTGTATTTTACTTCATTTGCACTTGTCAGTTCGAAGTAGTTCCACGAGGAACTCTTCTTTGTTCATCTTTAGTTGTGTTGTTCTCACTGTTCTGTATATCGCCAATAAATCAATCGCACGTGTGACGAAGGGCGGGGGGGGGGGGGGGGGGTCGGTGTGTAGCAGGCTGCAGCAGTCTGCACTCTGCGGCTTCCTCCAAGTTTACAATAAAACAAACTGGTGGTGTGACCAATGGCCATTTACAATTATTAATACTATTACTTTTATTAGCATTAGTCTATGTTTTGGTTGAAACTAAGCCAGGAAAAAAAAGAAAAACATAAATAATAATAAAAATATATATAAATAAAATCGAATTTTAAAAATAATTTTCGATTATGGAGACTGTAACGAATATTCGAAAAATCGAATAATCGCTGGCATCCCTAACTTGTATATGCAAAGACTAAAATCTCTTTGTTCCCTCCAGAGGGAGTTTATCTCGCACTAACTCCCTCCCTGCCTAAATCCCCTCCAGTGGACTCCATTGTTTACTTCCATAAAATAATGACAAACGCACTTATATTGGCTAGCGCTCTAACACACTATATGTGATAGGCGGGACATCTTTAAGCGGTTGACCAATCACCACAGAGCCAACCTGCTAACCAATCAGAGCAGACTGGGCTCTGGTTTCAGACAGAGGGTGAAAAGAGATGCTGCAGCACAGGCAGTATGATAAAAAATAAAGACCTTTTTGAACATTAAAGCATGTGAACATGTCACAGTAGAGACACAACATACAAACATGAACCTGAACATTAGCATAACAACCAAAATCAAGCCTGTCGTCAAGCTTTAGGTTTTACTCTGTACTCTCAGTAACGGCCTGAGACCTGGAAACGCGGTATATAGTGCATATATATTTATGGAAGGAAAAGGCGGGAGTTATTATTAAAGCTGAAAACCCAGAGTATGCAATGTGAAAGTTGGGTGGCGTGGATTTATGACCACATCCAATTCCACAAGGTGGAGCCTTAGGTATGAAAATAATCTCATGACTAAAATATGAGTTCATGAATCATTTGATGGAATAACTATGGTGCCCAAAGTAGGTAATTCCACACTGCCCTGAGCAGAGAGGGATTAGTTTCCCCTGATCTCACGAGAAAAGCTTTTTTTAAAGTGTTCTGCTGGCTTTTTGGGAATTTTTGTGGCAGGTCACAAGCGGGCCATGTTGCAAATAACAGGTTGGTTGCATGTTATTGAGTGAGATGTTGTGAACTACTATGAGGTAACTGTGAGTAAATGCACTGTCAGAGCAGTGCCAGTCAACTGGGAGTCTAGGTTTGAGCACACATTTCTGTAGGAAGTGATTCTAGACCTACAAAAATATTAAGTTTTCGAAATAATTGGGGGGTAAGAGAAGTAGGGCTGCTCAATTAATCGTATTTTAATCGCAATTACGATTATGGCTTGCAACGATTACGAAAACAACGTAATCGAAATAAAACGATTATTTTTTTGGTTTTTCAGTTACTTACAGTTTAGGGTAATCAACTGTTAAATACATACTGTTCACATTTTCTTTCTCCAATAAATTGATGTTTTCAAAGTAAATGGATAATCGTTTTTAATAATCGTGATATCAATTATTGACCCAAATAATCGAGATTATGATTTTTGCCATAATCGAGCAGCCCTAAAGAGAAGCCGCTGCAATGATGAAATCCAAATCTCCTGTTTTCAGAGAGAAGATGAAATGACATTTTGAGATTCAAATGTAAAGCCATCCACAAGTGATCCTCACCTTACATCTTATCCTTACACTGTAAAATATTTATAGAATCACAACTCCAAAATCCATCAGACGACACTTGGATCAGCGTAGTTGGGGAAAAAGGCAACGAAGAATGTGAACAGATATTTAAATAAGTACCATAGAAAGGGATCAGAGCAGCAATGTTTTCACAAAACGTTATTCAGACAATTAAACTCTGTTCAGCACATCACCTGTACACACAGGAATGGATCTCATTATAATTTTCCTTATTTATTACTGGTTTTAATTTTAAATTGAATTTGATTGACTCATTGATCCATTATTGCCAGTTTATCACGGCGCAGAAGAAAACCCAGAAGCTCACATCACACCTACGACAAGTCATTTAGATTCAACAATTAACCTGCATGTGTTTGCAACAATGCTAACCAATAAACCACCGTGTCCCCCCATTGTCTGTTCAAAATTGTTTCTTTTCATCTCCCCAAACACTCTGAAAAGCAAATCATTTGGTTTAAAAGTCAAATATTCAGTTTATAATGAAGATTTATGTCGTAAATCCTCTCATTTTAGAAGTTGGTATCAGTTTTGTTCGACCTTTCTGCTTAAAAAAATAACGTTATTTAGTATTTTATTATCAAAATTGCTGCAAAAATAATGCTGTATTGTTTTAGGGGAAATGAATAACCTCAAACAGAAACTCAAACTGACTGATCTTTTAGTAGCATGCCAAATTGTGCTAAACTGACTAAAATCCGGTGTGAAAGACAACGTTTTTAATTGAGGAACTTGGGAGTAGGTTAGGAGATTAAAAAAAAAAAAAGATAAGACAGAATCCATTATGTGGGAAACACAATAATGAAGGTGGGTAGGCTCACAAACACACACATTAATTAGATTCACAAACACACACATAGGAAAGTACACAAACACACAAACAACTCAAACTGAATTTCTAATCTATTTCTTTGTTATTGACACAAATACACCAAACCGTCTGAAACTAAATAGATTTCCGGAAAACCAAACCATTTATTTCTATGGTCCGTCCCTTCAATGCTGTTCCATGAAACATATGTTCCTGTCAATCTTACACTCAATTGTCAACACATAAGCAGGCACAAGTCATCAGATTGTGAAACAGCAGCACCCTGCCAACTGCTGGTGACTCTGGCCGTTTCTCAATGTCGAGTACACCTGCTGCAGAGCCACTATTTCAAGTATACTACGTCAGAGTGGCGCAGAATGCTGGGCATTTAACATGCCTTTTTTAAACAGTCCTTCGGCGCCACTCGATGACGTAGTATACTTGAAATAGTGGCTCTGCAGCATGTGTACTCGACATTGAGAAACGGCCTCTGTCTGTGAGGCTCGTCTCCTCCACCAGAGACACAGGCATCGTTGTTGGCAAGGGTTATCTTCGGCTCAAAAGTTAACTGAAACTGCACAAATGGCTGGTAAGAAATTAAATCCTGTGTTGCAGTGGGCTATCTCCTCATTTACAACACCAATGGGTTCTCATTAACTGCTCCACAACACGCTCTTTTCACTCCACTAATGACCACCCTGAAATATCTGGTGACAAAAAGCGTGCCATTATGGAAACAGAAACAAAATATCAGAGATTTGCATGAGAAATGATTCAGAGCCTAGCAAAAT